TTTTCTCCAAAAGTCAGTATTCGTATCGTACAAGTGATGAATTATTTTATCGTTAAAAAGAGAAAAAGCAAATATAAATTATTATGTTGGAATTAAATAACACTGGTCAATACTAAAATTATATTTTTTTAGCACCAAAACAGCCAATTTTTATTAATTTTATGATGTTGATAAGGAATATCAATAAAAATGAATGTTAGCTCTAGTTTCCATGATATATTAATTATACGTTTAAAAAATTGGAGTTTAATGTAAGATTTAAATGATATATTCAATACCATTTTGTAATACGAGTACAAATAATCATTTCTGATATATTTTTATCTACTAAATGAATCCGTTGTGGATTTTGCTTTGTCACATTACAATTTTTAGAAAAATGACGTGAAAAGGGTATTAAAAAATGACAATTTTAATAATAATGTATATATTACATGAAGAAAGAGCTATATTTTCAAATTAATATATCTCGAAAATAAAAAATTACATTAAAATGAATCAAAATGTAGAAATTGTTTCAAATCTAAAAATTGTTATTTTTGCGTGATGTAAATGAAATTTATAAATAAAATTTACTGCCGATGCTATAACGTATAAAAACTCCTAAAATCGTATTTTGCATCTTTGACGTCATTTTTCTTAAAAATTCGAACTAATAATCAAATTTAAATGCAAATTCATAAGCAAGCAAAAATACATTGGAAATGATTTCCAATGCTCACATTTACGATACAAAAAAAAGATCACTTGTTGCCAAGTATTATATATTGAAGAAAATAATTTTTTTATTAATTCAAAATGAATCAATAAATTTGTGACTCATTAGCAACAAAATACTGATAAATTTCTGTATTCGATGATAACACAGCAGCTGTGTTAACATACATTATTTTTATCATTAAAAAAGAAAAAAACAATTACAAGTTATTACACTGAAATTAAATAAATTGAGGGAAGTTATTTTTCTATAAATTAAAAAGTATCAAATCAAGAAATTTAGAAAATAGCAACTAATTAATAACAAAATACTGATAAACCAGTTTGATTGTAATGACTGTGCTAACATAATTAGGCACGTTTAATTTCTCTAAATAATTATGTACAGTATTTCCTTGTGTGGCAATAATTGTAAAGATTGTATAGCACTTACGGAACTGCGACGTACACCAATTTCGGGTGCGGCTTCACTCGTGAGAGCATAGAAACGCACCCGCTGTGCCTCCTGAAGGAAGTCAACGGAAGTGTTACTCTCATGGTTCCCGAATCCCTACGTGCCAGTCTGGGAGCGACTTCGTGGGATATAACGAGGGCGTATTCGTTCATCTTGAGAAACGTTCGAACTCTGCTCTCCGTTTCTACTGATATTTATAAGCTTCACATATACACGTCACATATGTACGTCGATAACATCCGGAGAGACCAGAGTAGACTTCCATCGACCGTTATTTATCTTCAATGGTTTGCGTTGAGTGCGTTTACATCGAGGTTGCGTAACATGACGTGTTTTTCGAGTCTTCCTATTACTGTACTGTTTCTCGGTTCAACTGATTGTAGCAATTGGATTAACACCATTGGGTGAACGACATTATTGATTGATCAATTAACTCGTTCATGCGATATTTACGATTGCGTGTTGAAAGTAATTACTCCGCTCTCATTAAAACTTCTGCGAAATGTCATCGTTATATCAGTTCATTGGCCAATTCGTATACAAATGACTTCTTTCAGAAACGCTTTTGAAACTTTCTCTGTACCGGTTCGCAATTTATATCCCAGCATTATCATAAAACGCGAAAGTATAATTCTCTCGGCGCAAAAAAGGTTCCATAAAATATTCTTTTAGTCGGAGTGATTTTTTACGATGTTATTTGTAAAAGACCAGATATCAGTTAACAGAATAATAGCTCGTACATTACGATCCATGTCGTATAGAGAGTCACGATGTAGCACATATCGCAGTTTTACGAACAAGTTGTATTATCTGCGCCGTGAGATAACGTAACCAAAGAGAATTTTGGTACTTCGTGTAACTCGACAATTTAGTGCTTCAGTCCTATTTGAGTTTCGTGAAAGCGCTGGCCATTGTTTACCAACTGTATAACCATTCTGCCCGGGAAACAGTTTTCATCCAGGTCACGTTTTCAATTCATCAGTTAATTGAGGATTCATTTTTATTACATTTTAAAATAAAAATACCGTGAAAAAAATTCAAGATAAACGTATAAATAAAATAATATTACAATTAAAATTTCTAACAAAGTCAATATACTCTTCCGAGTGAGAGTCGAGAGCTAGTAATTTTTAATTCCTTCAATTCTCAAGGAAATATCCAACTATCACCTGGATTACAGTCCTGATTTTCGTGTTTCATTTTTTAGTCAATTTGAAATGTCTACAGCGATCTCTCAGATGGAAGAGTTGACAACACTAGCGGCCATTCGTAAAATTGATTCCCATCTTTCCTGGGAGCACCGAAAAGTTGAGAGAGAGAAAGAGAGAGAGAGAAAGAGCGCGAAGACAGTCATCCATATTGCCATGATATTCCCGCTGGGTAAACAGAGCGAGGAACGCTAAGATGAGAATGCATCATTCATGAAGCGTTGCAAGAACATCCTTACAAGATGCGTCTGAGTCTTGACGGAATCTGTAAAGTTCCTCCTAACGAGAATATGCGACGTTATCTCGAAATAGATGACAGTTGGTTACAATCTCGGTCGTCGGTTTCGCCGAACGATTAATTGGAGCAACTTATAACTGAATCCTCGCTGGTCGATTTCCCTTAATATATAGTTGAGCAAAGGCTACACTGATAGCGGATTGTAAATGGATTTCCGAGAAGACGGAAATGTAATTATTATATCTTCTGCAAAACAATTTGCAGATTTATATTTTACAATTAAAGTTTTCTTTTTGTTCAATGTCACGATGTTGCAAGAAACGCTTTTTTCACGTTAATTAGATATAGTCTGATAATATTTAAAAGTTCTATTATCTCCAGTTATCTTCGTAAAATATCTTATCCTTGTTTTTTTTATCTCTGATATGATCTCTAGTTCATTAATTAGATATTTTGATTTACTTTAATTGCCTCTTGAAAGGTAAGAAGTGCTTTTGAAAGAGTAAAAGGGAAAAGAGGGAAAAAAACGAGTTAACTTACGATGTGAATAATGTCGAGCACTTTTCTAGTTTCGCCATGGGAATGAGTCCGAAATTACCTTTAATATTCTCTTAAAACTCGAGATAATATACGATCATTTTTAGATTGAAAATATTTCGTTTTAATTTTCTGCAATAATTAGAACTGTGCGACTAAAATCTCAAAGTAATAAATTTCAAGTACGTTGTTGTATTTCTATGCATAATAAAGATATAACATTATCATAGTAAGAATGATAATGGAACGAAGAAGTCTGTCTCGAAGCTATTGCTAAAGTTACTATATAGAAACAAAGGTGTTAGGTATATTGTTTTTTCAGAACAAAGACCTTAGCCATTAACGCAATACGCTAATTAGTGCAAAAGTTTGCGCTTGGGGCAATGAAAATTAGTTCTTAGTGAATGAAAATTAGTTTCACTCTTGATAAAATCACGCACATGAGTAAAGATTGGAAAGGACGAAAAAAAGTACGCAAACAGCACACCGGAGAAATATTTCGGTACATTATGCAGAATTAAAAAGACACCGTTTGAAGTATATCTATATATTTGGAATAGTGTTATAAAGATCGCGAAAAAATTATTCGCGTCTTGATAATGTTTTGATAAATAAATTGTGCAGCTATAAAATGAGATAAAATTTATTTGTATTAAAATTAAAAATAAAACAAAAATAAAACAAGAGATTCCTCTTAATCAGACAATTGAATAAAGACAATTAAAAGGCGTTAGGAGTACAGAAAACGATGCGCAAAGTATCTAATAAAAAATACTTTAATAATTAATCGACATCACTTTATCAAAATCACAACTATAATATCTGTATAAAGAAATAAAAAAATTGTTCATTGCTATCCCATTAGTAAATTGACTTCTTCATTTACTATGCAGAAAAATCAGAATCCTCGAAATTATCATCGTTAGATCTGTTTCATTCACAGCTTAATACAGGCTGCATTTGAGGAACGCACTATCAATGCTATTTGTTAGCGTTCTTTGTTTTACGTCTAATGAATGATAAAGATAGAATAACATAACAGCGCATAAATAACGCTTTCTCCGAAACAGCCATATAGTACTTGACATTTTTCTCACGGCTCGTATATCGATTTCAAAAGCACAGTTATGTGCTTAGAACATTGTGATTTCAAGATGCAATAAACTTGAGAAAACACAATAAGGATTCTTATAAATTGAAGAAGATGAAAGTTTCTTCCGTAATCGAGAGAGTAACCAACACGAAAAGTCAGCATCTTTTCTGTTCACAGAAAGAAAGAGGGAGAAAGAGAAAGAGAGATCTTTATTCTTACAATTTTCTGTAATATTTTCAGTTCGTATCGGGACAGCGTTGTAACTTATTTATCGAGTCCAATTACGTATATATCCTGTGGATAAATTCATTACGGATTTACGTGACAACATCAAACTCAATGAAGTTCCAAATTCAATGGCAATTGGATGGACCTAGGTCCTTGCTGTGGATATCAATTAATAAACCTGTATCAATCATTGGCTACGGTGTAAAATCGATTTATCAGGATCAATAAGGTAACTCGTCGTACATGCCATACATTTATTACCATTTTTTTTCTATATAACAACTAGTCTTTTCAATGATTTTTCCACGGATATAGAACGTACAGTAGTACGCAAAATTCAAATATTTGTAGCTATATGTAAAATTGCTTATCCGCTGTAGAATCAGCAATAATCATAAAGTAAAACCATAGGAACAGATTCCAAATGTTTTGCAAATGTTGTACACGATATCATGGTCGATTTCGCCGCTGATGTGTTCGTGATGTAGATAGATACAAATGACTTTGATTATGACAGATGTTTGAATATATATAGAAAACTAATAAAGCCGATGGAAGATGGAAAACATCTCAGATTACTTTTAATACGAAAAGAAGTCTTCTTTTTTTACGTAAGCTATCAATGTTTGACCCTGCTGACAAATATGTTTCATTATTCGATAAGTCTTTCCAACGTTACTTTTTCAAAAAGTACAAGAATTAAATTTCTTAAATTCCATTACATCGTTCGCGTTTAATATTACATACATTCTCGTGGTTATTTTTTTCAAAAGATATTAAACGTTCCCTTTATACATACCTTTTCTTTATAGAAAGGACCTCGCAATAATTAATATGAAAAATTGAATCTCTCGGTAAAATGAATTATCCGTTATTTAAGCCATACGTACGCCCGTGTACTTTCTAAAACTTTTAGAATAAATTTCACTTTAAAGAGTGAAATCTCATTCTTAAAGATTAAAAATTGAATCATCCTTTTTCAAAACCTGACTCAATTTTCACTCTTTAGAACGAGATTTTATTCCAAAGAATTTGAAGAATAACATTTTTTATTTACCACATTATAAGTTAGAACATATGTTATAACTGACTCATTTCATCAGGACCAATTTCCATGTATTATATGGAGAAGAGCCTGGCAATTATTAGATATATATCTAATAATTGCTCTTAGGATATTCATAAAACACATTGTTTTCTTTTTTGAAATGACACAATCTCGATGTACACACTCACACGACTACGTGAAAATATCGATCAAACGCGCACAGCGATCGATTGGATTTAACCATCCTGCATTTATGACTCGAGGTCTCGCGGGAGCACCCTTCACGGAAGCACTCAACGACAGTTTGTCATTAGATTGTTAAACATTTGAACTTTAGTGCGCTGGCATCGGAGTACCGCTCACGTTCACACACGAGCAAACGTCGAAGTTTGCGAGTCGCGCGAGGACTCTACATCACAGCTAATCACGAATTAACTGTTGGAATCAAATGGAATTGCTTCCGACAACTGTCCTGATATTTCAAGGCCGTAGAGAAACGTCGATACAAAGTTCAAAAAGATCTTTACCACACGAAGAACAACCGACCTCATCGGTCGCGTGCCGGACGCGAACTGACTCTTGCCATGCTGGCGTCTGTTGCTTATACCCAGTATAGCTGCGCGCATCACGCTCTCGAAGTCTGCGATCATTCTCGACGAATGAAATCGGTTTGCCACATATATATATAGGCTTGCACTTAGCTTATCTAATGACGATAGGAATCCTCTATCTCCCTCTCACGAGAGACCCTCGTGTTTTCCCTTTCGATCAGAGATTCTTCAAACAAACTCCGAAGCAAATATTTCCTTTGCGAAAATGTGATCAGACGCATAAATATCTCTCTCTCTTTCTCTCTCTCTCTTCTTTTGTTATTTAATTTCAAATATTTTTGTAGCTAATTCCCAAATTAAAATTCTGTTGAAGCAACATCCGTGGAGAGCAGAATATTCCATTGGATATACGAATAACTTTAATCAAATAATCAATTATCGATCAATATGTCAGGAGAGATGAAATATGGAAGGAATTAAGAAGATTCAACTTTGATATTATAAATAAAATCATTGTATGTCTGTGTTATATTTCATTGCAGTACGTTTTATAACAGTACATAAATACAAAATTGCCGTTTTCTGCGAAGTTAAGAAATTCGCATTAATCGTATAAGCGTGCTTCATAGAACGCAATAAAGAGTATATATACTGTAATATTACGCAAGCATCGAACCGCGTAAATATTTCCGTAAAACATGAGACATTTGTCGTAAGTCTTCGAATTTCGCGCTTATTCGATTATTGTGCTCAACATAGTCTTCCTCTGGCGCAAAGAGATTGTTGCAAAATAATTGTGAAAGATTAAATGTTTGTATGTGTAGGAGATAACGACAACAATCTTTTATTCTCCTATATAAACAATAGGGATAGAGATAACAGATATGACAGATAAAACAATTTCATTTGTGATCGTTATCTCAAATGACGATCCATTGGTGTCGATTGTTGTCAGAAAAATAAAAGGGATTATCAGATGGAACAAAAGAATACTACATTCCCGATTATTCGGCATGTGCTTGGGATTGAATTGTACCATCAGAAATGTGATGTTAAAAAGCTCTGAGAACAGAACATTAAATATACTGTTATCTCGTAAGCACACTCATTCTTTATAAAAATATTTTAATCAATAATGTAATAATAGTATATAATTATTTTAATCGTAATTATCGCGGCGCTATATCGTTAGCGAGTTATTTAAAATATCTACAATCACTAGAGAGTAACACTATGAGAATTTAATAAATCAGAATTAATGACGACCTGATTTATATTTTATTGACGCAAATTGAAGAATTAACTCGAGTGGAAGAACGAACAATGACAGGCAAAGAGATGTTTATCGCAAGGAAAATCGATACATCTAATTGTATCTCGCGAAATATGGTTGTCTCTAATTATCCATAAAATATATTACGTAATGTAACAATAAAAAAAAACTCATAAGGACGTAAGTAGTAACAAGTTGATAATATCTCGTTTTCAGAAAATGGAATATTTATTTATTAAAATGATTCAATTTATCGAATTGAACTGCCTAATTATAAATATTGTAAGAAATAAGTGAAGTAAACTTTATTAAATGTATTGATGAGAAAAACTATTAGTCTTTATGTAAGTTACATTAATTACATTAAAGTTCTGAATATTATCAACAAAATAGTCTTAGCTATTATAGGTAATTATATAAAATGTATATATCTATTTATAATATGTATATATATATAATATCTGCTCAATATGGCGTATTATATTTTCAGAGGTCGTGATAGGCAGATTAATACATGTGTGGAACCTTTAACAATAAATAGCCATCAAAACAACGATCGGCGAAAAAATGAAAGTGAAATGTTACGACATTATACATAAATTGCAGCTGTACTTTGTCGAGGTAACTTTTACACTTATCTTATGAACCTGACGTACATCATTTCAGAGTATGTAAACTTCGCCGCGAGTGCGACTTCGTAGTTTTATTAACATGCCGCGTTGTTTAATTTAATATGAACTTTTATAGTTTAAGTTTACCGGATATTTATGAAGGCATACACGCGACTTTTATCAACCGTAACGAAATATTATGGCGATAAAGAAATGCACCAAAAAGAAAACAGATACTGACGCCTGCGGGGCAGATTTAATAGAGCAGTATAATCAACTTATTTTCTTGCAAACCATTTTCGTATTTTATAAAACTTTCATGTCTACAATAAGACGTTGATTTATGTAAAAAGAAACCCACCATATATACATTAAACTATGTTACCAATATTTATTTTATATACATCTAGAATAAAATTTAATTACCGCAGCACAAACTGTATCTGATATACTTTTTTATTTATAATACAAATCCTTCATAATTCATTTATTTCTGTTTATTTGTTATTCGGGATATATGGATAAATACACGCGCATAGATATTACGAATATAAATTTTCATCGGTTTAAATTTTCAGCAGAATTTTTAACGCAGATGCGCGGAAACATTTTTTGAGGCAATTAGCTCTTTTAAATATGTTTTATCGTCTCATTTGTTTCGTTTTTAAAAAGCTAAATAAATATTTTATTGCGAGTGTAAAGATTCATATATGACGATTTTGATGATTTATATGATGATTTATATCTTTCTGTTCCGCGGCCAACTTCCACAATCTCGTTACGTTAATTAAAGTCGTTATTATGCGTAACGTGGAAACAAGATGCAATCACGATTCACATTTATTCACGAATGAGTACACCATCGATCGCTAGATTCTGTTTACGTGCGAATGCGAACACGACGACGAGACGGTCATCTCGTTTACATGGAAATCTTGAATTGGCATGCGCCGATTTCAGGGTGATATATGATACGGTTAGGGAAAAAACCCTTTTCACGAAGACGTATAAGTGAGTGATAGATGGTAAAGAACGGGGTGAACATGCGTGAACGAAAGTGTAACGGACGTCACGATTTTCCGAACTTGCGAGAAACATAACGATAAGAAAATTCATTGAAAATTGAACATATCTTGAATTGGATATTCGATTCTGGTTTATTTGCATGAACCGAGGAAAATAAGCTAAATTTATATTCGCATACATTCCGCTACTTTAATTTCGCCAATATAGTTACACGTGAATTGTAACTTACGTGACTAAATTATATATATTCAGGTAATGTTTTACTAGTACAAACAGTAAAAGATAATTCCGCTCAGAAATATGTTAATGCAAGCTTGAGAGTAAATCATGTAATTCGTTCTCATTTACAAAGATAGTTGTATTTGTATAATGATTTTATTTAAACCTCGATGAGCCAAAGTATTTATATCAAATGCATTAATAGCTATTAAATTAAAGAATATATTGTAAATTAAACAAATTAACCTGCTTTTTGATTAATATTTAAAAATTTAAATTTAATACTTAATATTTAAAATTAATACTCAAAATATATCTTAAATTTTCTGTAAATAATGAAAATCTTTTCTTTATTATTTAGTTTATACGACAATATTATTGATTTATGCTTTCTAAAAAAAATGTATCACAGAAAAATTAAATTAAAAATAATTATTAATTCTCTATCATTATGGATAATTCTCAATCACACATCTTTGCTTATACATTTTTACACTATAACACAAATTTAAATTTACTTCTGAAGTTTACTACTTTTATTGAGTTTCAGTGTAAATTTTGATATGAGAAACTTTAGCTACAAATGAAATAAAAGTAAATCACTTACGGATTACATTGTAGAAAGGAAAAATCAGATTTGTTGAAGAAATCCGCTTTCCTCTTTCTATCGCGTTAAGATCTAGAAAATATTCTTGATGTATAAAATCAAAACATGGAGCAAATGGAAATAATTCTTATTCTAAGTGACATCAATTTTAAGCTAAATTTTCCAAAATAATATTGTATTGTATCTACCGATTTTTTAAAGAAATGCAAGAAAGATGTTTTCATATGTATATATACATATTTCTATTTGTATTGTGAATGTATGTCTTTGCCTCACAATCTCTTTCGCTATCTTTTATAAGATTCAAAGATTCTATTACTTTAAATTTCTTAAATTTTCAATGAAAATCTTTTCAAAATGTGATACATCGAATACGAGGGTCAGATATCAAATAAGCAATGTGTATAACCCAAGTAAGTGGTAACCCAATCCCTTTAAGCAATATTGCGTTATTTTAACTTTCATATGAATCAAAATGTAAATCAATCCATTTTTGTAATTAGTTTTAAAGTAAATCATGTTAGTATTAACATATGCACTAAGTAAATAACAAAATAAATAATAAATAATTAATTATATACACTTATTAAATAATAAATTTATGTTAAATTTAATATCCATATTTTTTTTATTTAAATTATTTAACTCCATTTTACAAGTTAAATTAACTACATATTGAGTAGGAGCAATGGCGATCTCTAGAAATAATTAAAAGTAAAGTCAATAAATCGAGAGTATAATAAATAAATAAATCACTAAGTGTAATTTGACGTTACACTTGAATTTTACAGAGTAAATGATGAGGTATAGTGTGCGTTCACTGCGATAAAGCAATGTGATAAACGATGTTCAATGAGAAGAACGAAGTTCTTTTTAAGAACTCGCGATTGATAGAAGAGCAAATAGCAGACATTTTATCAATTTGAGAAGCAATCGGGATTTAGTGAGAGCGCCGATAAAACGTCGAGCAGCTGCAAGAAAAGCCGGAGTTAAGGGCAGATCTGCGGAGGGTGTGAATAAGGGGAATATCGATTCTTTTCGAGTACTCATAAAAAATTGACCTGATGTATCCCCATTCGACACGCTGAACGGGTTCGCTCTCTTGTTTACGAACCGTGTCGACGGTAGGCTTTTCCACTGAATGCAATTTAAGCCAAACTCCATTTGTCGGAGCTGCGAAATCGTGTGTAGGCGTCCGTTAACGAGCATCAACTAGCATTAAGCTCTATACGTTCGCCATGTACGTTTTCCACGAGTGCCTTTTTTTTCCATGTTGCGTGTGTATGCGGTTTGTTTCGCGCGCGCATGTCGTGACAACGAAACTTCACAACGAAATTTAACGTATACATGCAAAAGTTATAAAGATCATTGCGTCAGAGAAGATCGTCACAAGAGAAGAGACAAGAAAAAACTCTAATCTCTGAAATCTAAATGGCCATCTCAGTGATTGAAATTTTTATGATTAAACGAAAGTATGAAGCAGACTCCAGATTATTGAACTGAAGAATTTGGATAGCTTGAATTGGTAGCTTGAATCTTATTTAAAAGCGTAGTAATATCGATCCATAAGAGTTAGCGTGCTACGCG